AAACTTCCAGAACTTGATATGTATAATATCTGTTCCACTGCAGGTGATGTGCAATAATGAAGGGCACAAGCAAGTTTTAGTATATGTGGGACATGTATTGCTAGTGAAATATATTCTGAGAAATTCCTGGTTTCTCTGTATATTGGCTGCAGTTACATGCCTTCTAATGTAATTGCAGCAAACTGCACCATTCAGTGTCTCAAGGTTAAATGTTTAACACATGCTACTTGCAGATACCAGCTCATGCTGCTATTACTGCCATAATGTGAATGATAAATATTAATCTTGGTAATGTTCTTCAAGCCTCAGAAGCTGAGAATTTTGTACAGCGCTTTTCTAATATATGTGTGTGATTTTTTTTTTAAAGCAACTGTTTCAGAATTGAGGGCTAAGCTGAGAAAAATGGAAATGCAGTAGCCAATAGGAGCAGTATCCAGTGGGTGATGGTCAAGGAGGAGGTAGAAAGTAGAGTAACTTAATGTATTGACTAAAAATTGCAAGGAGGTACGTGCCAGTAGTGTGAAGAGGAGTGCCCTCTTGCTTCATGAGGCCAGGAAGGACATCCGATTTGAATTTTAAAAACTAATATTAATAATATTATATTTATCTGCTTTCCACCTATTTCCCAGGACTGGGAAAATGAGAATTACTGTCTGCCAAATGTTACTGGCTTGTACCATGTTTATGTAATTATATAATATCCTTTAAAACCAGGCATTATGCAGCTTTGCAGTTCAGAGAGGTGACACAGAAATCTCAGTTCCATGTGCATGCCCTGCTATCAAAGTAAGGAACTATTTGAAAAGAAATAGCCATGTAGATATAAAACCTTTTCACTTTATTGCAGTGAATATGGAAATTGAGTCATGGGGGAGATCCATGCAAGCCCTGGATTGGGGTAGGAGCCTCTATCATGCAAACAGTTGTATGATCTTAGAGCCAGACTTGGTTATATTCCTTCAAAACTACTGCACAATGAAAGGTAGTTGAAGAGGATTAGCAAATACAAGTAATTACATGACTAACTTAGCATTTATTTCTGAGACTACATTCACTATTCTGCATATGGATATGCTAATCCACAATAGTCACCCTCCCTCAAATCACTAATAGACAGTTTCCTCATTCTGTGCAGACACATGCATGGAGTAGAGGAAACACAACCTTTTTGATTCCCCATGTATGCTGATAATATTGAAAGCACTTGTTTTGAGAAATAACTCTAATTTATTAAATGCATAGTAATGTTGCTCTTCAGCTGAAACATCACACAGAACAGCCTGCATACAATCTAAAAGGCATGATGCAAAATGAAAAATGGATGAGGGGGAAAGAGGAAAAAAAGCAAACCCAGGAACCATTTTTTAAAGTTAAATAGTTCTTAAAATGACCAGCTTAAAACATTTGCAACAGAAAAACAGTCTCATCTGTGTTGAGTGACCTTGATCATTCTTGAATATTTAATCACATTCCTATCAATAGTGTAGAGGAGCAAAAAATCCTTAGAGAGACAAAATCTTAAGTAATCTGAGAAATAAATGCAGATTTTAAAGACTTGCATAGACAAGGTTATATACAAAGTACAAGAATGAAATGAATGTTGCTCAATATACCTGCCATGTTTAAAATTAATGGCAACCTCTACAGTCATGTTGCCAACAAAAGCACCTGAATTTTATGTTTAGTGGAATTCTGCTTTTAAAATGCTGTAAAAATGGGAAGGTTCAATAGAATAAAGCACTTTGGGATGCAGTCCTATGACTGCTAAATGCTGCCTGGACAACTACAGGATAATTTGGAGTCCCAGTTCTGACCTCAGAATTGAGATTCTTGCTTTAGATTGCCATCTGCCCACCTTGCATCCAGCCCAGATCTTTGTGTCTTGGCTGTGGCTCTGAAGTTACAATACTAGAGGGGGCATTCCAGGGGCTGGGGGGGAATAGAGTACTACCACCATCCTTTGAAGAAACATGGTATTGCCTGCAGCTCCTATCCTTGTGAGCTGATGTAAAACACTTAGATGGTCAAAAGTAACTGTCTGCAAGGGGGCAAAGAAAGTACAGAGGCAATCCTCACCTTCATATGCCTTTTGCCCTTCATTGGATGCCCATAATCTTCTGGGTTCAGAGGGCTTTAAACAGCCACATTGAATGACATCCTCAAGATATATTTAACTTGAAGCTTTAGCTTCATAAGACTGTATCTATGTTTAAAACCAAGTGCACTCTTAATTGCTTTGCTGGATTAATGCCCAAGTGAAGTATAGCTGGAAATGTAGTTCAGATATACTTGAGAACTTGTCATTTATAAGCTACATTGTACTTTGGTATTTAGTTTGGGATGTGAGAGAATTATTTGAATTGTGGTTTCTTTTCTTGTGTCAGAGACTGATACGATGCAAAATATACTTTTCTGCTTAGATGACTTTCATAGGTGACCCCTTTTTAGATAAAACTTCCATCACTCTTTAATCGTATAGGTACAACATCAGTCTTGAAAGATAGTTAAGGAAAGCAAAAGTAAAATAATTTAAACAGGTGCAATGAAAATGCATACGAAATAAGTGTTAGTTTTTGTGATTCTAATTATACATCATGTGGAAATTATTTCATTATTAAATGAATGAACAAATAATGTCCACCTTTGTAGAATAAATATGGTGGAGTTGACTGGCAACTCTTTCCAAAGCCTGTATATCCTAACTGATAAACATTTAAGTAGCTGATGATCAAAAGTGTAAGACTGCTTGATTCACAATGGACTAATAAGAGTAGTTCTGCAGCTACTTGGACTGGGACCATTTTTTGAACAAACCCTTATGATAATATCTTTCCAACTTCCATGTTGTGCGTTAAAAATATTGTGACTTCTATCCTAACATCTTGATGTGTCCCATGAAAAAAACCAGAATGCTCTTTCTTTTCCATTGTGTAGCTGATTTCCCATAGAAAAATAATAAGAATCTTGAGGAAGAATCTCTCATCCCAGCAACTGATACCATACTTCACGAATGATTCCAGAACTTGATTGGTATTGCTAGGGCATTTCTGTGAGTTATATGCAGTCTTGGATTAATCTTGGAATCATAATAGTAGAATTAGAAGGGGTCGGAGGGCCATCAGATCCAACCCCTTGCTCAAGTGCAGGACTCCAAGTTAAACCAACCTGGTCAGAAGCAGACTATCTTAGCAGTGATGGCTTCAGGAATATAGCTGTCATTTGAGAAGAAAGGGAATTCTAGCATTTCTTTCCAGCACATACATAAGTACCATAAGTACATATCAGCAGTTGGCAGATGGCACCTCCACAATCATGGTGTTAGCGTTGCCCACCTTTCTGCCTTCCCCAAGAAGTGTCGGACCAGCAAGAGATTAGTTTTTTTTTACCCAAATGAGCAGAGTAAAAATCCATGAAATACTGAACAAAGACCCTTTCTCTTTTCAGTCTGGTACTAAATACCTAAGTATTGGGTATACACTAACTCTAGTGTTGTCCACTAGAGGGCACTGTAAGAACTCCTCTAAAACAAAACCAGTATAGAAATTTTGCATGAAGCAACATGTTTGGCCAGCTGCTTTATACACCCACAGATTCCTTTAGCAAGCCTGAGATTCTGTAGATTCCAAACACAGCAGAATAACTGTTTAATTAGTTTTTCAGTCTCTCTCAGATTTGGGTAAGGGAGTTGCCATTTGGAGAATGCTTTAAAAATATTCTGGTAGGAGAGAATAAATGTGGAATGTAGGTCCTGAAGACACTTTATGAAAATAGGCCATTAAAACAAGTGTTGATAGTGTATTTGCATGTTTTTGGTGATGTGCAAAGGGAACTTGCAGAGTAAGGACTGCCAGGTAGAACCTGAAGGGCTCCTACCAGATTTCCTAACTCTTTAGCAGCCCCTTGGACATGAAAAATAAAATGGCAAATGAAAGGGAAAACTGGGGAGGGGTACAATTTGAGATAATAAAAAACTGAAGTTATATAAGGTGATAATTGTACTATTAGGCAAAATACTGATCCATGTAACAACAGCATTCAGATCTCTAGGCCAAAGCCTTCATACGTATTTCATACACACTGAAGAGATCTTTGAGAATTTGTTAATTTGTGGAAGACTTTGTTAGTTATAGTTGAGTACAGAGATTGCCTTCAGATTCCCACATCCAATGCTATATAGAGAATGGACACTGGTCTTGCCAGGGATGTAATGTTAAGTGTCTTAAGTCTTCCAACAGAGTGTATTACTAAATGAGTTTTTCCCTGTATTGCCTGAAGATGGTCCAATAAACTCTAAACACCCTGTTTGCTGCTTGTAAGCCTCAGATCTAAACTTGCTGAATGGATATCCTCCTGAGTGCTTCTCCATTGATGGTTTTTATTCTTATACTGATTGCCTAGCTTTCTGTTCCAGAAAAAAGTTGGTGAAGAATGATGAACTTAATTTTCTACCAATTATCTAAAAAAGAGGTTCATGAAGGTGACTAATACTTTCACTATACTTGCCAGGAGAACTTGGTGGTAGAAACCTGGTATAATAGAATGGCTTGTTTAACTTGATGCCTGAAAACAATGTTCGAATATGGCTGCCACTTTTTGTAAATTCCTCTTCATAAATCCAAAGTTCTGCAAAGCATCATACAAAGGTTTCAAAAATGTACAGTTCAGTTTTGAATGCTGTCTTTTGCTAACAGCCCCCAGCACAAGTAAGAAATGAGTACATAACAGGAAGAGATTTTAACTCATCCTTTATCCTGCATGCTAATTTTTAATTTGAGGAGTTTAAACTGTAGAAACATTCAAAACTGTGAATCTCTCACCAGCAACCTGACAAAATTGCTACGTGTATAGGTCTGCCCAGCTGCCAATTTGAACAATATGCAAATTATATTTACTGCTTAATTTTCATGTCATGTTTTTGAACTCAGAAATAAAAAGCTTTGACTGATTCTGCCATTATTGCTTAAAAGCTGATGCTATATTTAATGGTTTTTTCCCCCTAGGGTTTTCTGATAAATTCAAAACCTGAGAATGCATGTGAACCGATAACCCCTCCACCATTGAGGGACAATTCCTCCCATGAATTCATTGTATTAATCAGAAGACTTGATTGCAACTTTGATGTAAAGGTAAGTAATTTATCAAGTCTCTAAGCATATGGGCTCATTTCACAGGATTTCAAGGTTGCTGCTGGCTAGTTCACATAACACACTAAGCCACAGGGATGGGGGTTAGTGACTGAACCATCCTCCTTCCTGAGATTTGTTAACCGGCCTTACCAGGCATGGCTTGTAGATGAGTCAAGGGAAACCAGCATGGCCTAGTGTGTCATCTGAACCAAAATGAAATACTAACCCTTGGTAAAGTCTGTGGGTGGGTGGAGACCCAGCCAAATATTGTCTTAGTTGTTCCACCACCTGCTGCCGCTGCAACAGGTGAGGGCAGGATATGAGCTGGGGAGGGGCTCTTCTCTCTGCACCTGTGTGTGCCATTGACATAGAGAAGTGCCCACCCACCCTCGTCTTAGGTAGCAGCTTGCCAGGTGAAGGGATGGCACTTCCTTACTGCTCAACGCCAGTGTTGCTCAGCTGAGTGATCTTGCAGCCAAGTAGTGAGACAGGTCCCCTCACACAGGCTTGTGGGACCAGTATGAGGTGGCTGGTGACTCTGCTCTTCCAGGTTCAATGGTGTAATTGTGGTTTTACAGTCATGCTATCCGTTGTCTCTGGCTGCTAAATCAATCCATCATCTAAATTTGGAGCAATAGTGTGGTATGGATTCTATGGGACAGTTGTTCATCAGCTTAAGAATACCAGGAAAAGGGTGTGAGCCATTGGATGATTCAGAATAGGGTTCTGTTAATGACAGTGAAAGCATCTAAATTTACTTGTGAGATTTCTAAACTTTCTGTACCCCTATTCAAAATGTCTGAAAGCAAGGCTTTTTAAGAACCAAGATTTATAGAGGACTATTTGATATGGCCAGTTTTGAAACAATACTTCGTACATTTAATGATTGCTAATTTAACCTGTTCATCAAATCATTGTTCCTTTAGCATCTTATGGCACCTGTAGTCATATACAGAGGTTTGTGTTATGTCCCTTACAGTGGACGTTTTGTAAAAAGTTCCAAATAATTCCATGGGTGTCTTTTTTCTATTTATCTTGCTGCATCTCACATCAGTTAATATCCAGTATGATTAACAATGTTTGGTGGGTTCATGACCATTTCCTGGGTACGTCCCTGTAGACCAGGAGTGCAAAAGCTCAAGCCCACAGGCCTAATGTGGCCCCCAGAGTCTCGTCCCACTTGTGTGGGCTCTATCTCCTTGGCAGTGCTATTTCCTTTCCATAAGCCCTTTCCCTACTAGGAGCTCAGAAGAGGCAGTGAGAGAAATCACCATTATTTTTAGTCACAGAAGATCCATCCAGCACTTGGCGAAGGAGCAAATGGTGTTGGGTTGATGTAGAAATGTCCCCTGCTGGCAGTGCGTGTGGACACATCCATCCGATAGACAGCTTGTAGAGGGACTTGGTGGAGGATCATCCCACCCTGTCCAGTTTTGGTTTTGTATCCCTGATGTACATGTTGCTTACTCCTCATCTAACCAGCTTTGAAGCTGTGGATTCAAAATTGAAATATTAGCATCTAGACATTTAAATAATAGAAGTAAATCCACTTACTTAGTTGCTGAGTAAGTGGTGTAATTTTTAAGGTCAAATTTCAATCAGAATTTCAAACTTGAATAAATGGTCCCAATTTATGGAAAGTTACTTTAATGATAGACATTACTTTCAGGAAACTTTTAAACTTTGTACTCCTACCCTTTTGCAGCTGAATAGTATTAATGGCATGGAATGCTGTTCATTACTTATTATGTTTCTACTTCCAATATTCTTTGTTTTCAAAAGTGAACCACGTTGAAGATGGAGTAGTCTTAGAATAAATCTCTATTATTCACTAAAGAATAAATAATATATGGATTGATGACAAGAGCTTTGAAAGCCTTTGTTAGATGGAGTAAATTAATCCAATAGAACAGTTTTACAATCATATTTTAGAGTGAGTAGGAAACCAAAACATCTTAGTCTAATAAAGTCTGGAAGACAGGATGTGTGTAGGGACCTGGGCAACAGGTTATGGAGCATGCATGGCTGATTGGTGACTCACCAAGCTGAACGAAGGAGGACAGCTTTGTGCATTGGTCTGTTATAGTTATACTAGCCTTGCAAAAAATCCTACAGAATGAAATGGCCCTTGAAGTGATAAGAGCTTGTATAGCCCTGCATGGCTCAACTCACACATAACAATCCCAGCACTACTGTTTCTTTCAGTTCTTAAAATCATGGGTGAAAGACCTAACTGTTCTGGAATTACAGGACTACTTTAACACACAACCAAAACAGGAAAAAATGTGGTCCTTCGTTTTGCCCTGAGAGGGTATCAAATAAGTAATTCTTTACAGGAACAGACAGTTATGTACATTTTTTTTCAACAAGATCATTCACAACCAGCAAAGATTAAGATTCCCTTATCCTTTCTCTCTTTCCTAAGAGATTAATTACAGCTAGATGTTCAGCTCTTCAGCTGAAAAACCTTTCTTCAGCGCAAGGAATGAGTCTAGGAACATCTGAGCATGTACAAAGTACAGAGGCTTTAGAAAAAAAAGCAGAGAGGAAGATTGCCCATTAAGAATGAGGGGATGGGAGGACTGTTGCAAGGAGAAGTCAGAGGGAAATGATCACAATTTCATCTGATTGTGTTTTTAAACACTCAGTGGCAATATTTTTATATATGGCATTCCCTTGTTCTTGCTCCTAGTTGTTTTCAGTCCCCTGATTTTGCTTAACTGTGGACCACATTAAACATGATAGTAATTGTGTGAATGCAATTAAGGCGCATGCTTTTTGTTATAGAATAGTAGCTAGCACAAGGTGGGGGCTGATGGGAGTTGAAATTGAACAGCATCTGGATGGCTACACATTTCTCACCCATTTTAAACTACTTAAGCTTTTGCTTAGGGTGTTGCTTCAGCAACACCTAGATTAATTAAGGTTGCAAGCCTAAGCACACTTACCTGGGAGTCACTCCCACTGAAGACAGTGAAACTTATTTTTCAAGTTGATGTCTTGAGAGCCTGCATTTTTTAAAAGGAGTTTTAAAACTCATGTTTAGCAGTGAGAGAATTTAAAGAGCAAACCTCTTTAAAGCAGGAACAGGAAGAGCTAATTATGCTCCTCTTTGTATTTTAGTCACAGGATGATTTTGCATGTGGCTGGCTTGACTTACACCTTTCATTGTTTATTTTATTTATTTATTTATTTATTTATTTATTTATTTATTTATTAAAACATTTCTATGCCGCCCCTTGCCATAGCCGTAGTTTAGCTATGGACATAACTGGTAAGCTTGGGCAAACCTCTCAGCCTCAGCTTCTCACCTGAAAAATGGAAACAGACAGTTGCATGTTTGATGTGGATAACAAGCATAAACATTGGATCCAGACTAAGTTGAATCTGATTCTTGTTGAAATGGATGGAACTTGAGTCAAATCATGATTAACATGTCCCATTGATTTTTAATGGGGCCTGCATTGTTAGCTGAGTCTGCAGTTCAGCCCTTTGTATTAACAGGCTTCTTAAAATCTGGTTTACAAAAGCCTGCTTTCAAGAGTTGGTCACACTTCAATGTGATCAAGAAGTGGGCTCAGGGTGGCAATGCAGCCAAATGGAGCTTGATTCTCAGAGGCTTCTATGAAATGTAGACAAGGGTATGAAGTAAAAGGGGAATGAAAGCAGTGTGTTGAGGTGCATATGCATATATACACATCATAGCTGTGGCTATTTTACATAATAATCAGAATACTGCACAAATGAAAGCAGATTTATTTGTCAATGTTGGTAATGCATGCAGCAAGTATTCTGGAGAGGGAGGTGTTATTCTCAAATTCTAAGCAATTGTTTATCAACAAGCTTTTTGTCTGGCTTGCAGGTTTTGAATGCACAAAGAGCTGGCTATAAGGCAGCCATAGTTCACAATGTTGATTCTGATGAGCTCATTAGCATGGGATCTCAAGACAGTAAGTACAGGTATTGTAAGTACAGGTATTACTTCTCTCCTGTTTGAGAACTATTCTGTATCTCTGGAGTTATGGAATAACAACTTCAGAATCTATTCAACTTAATGAAAATTTTACTGTATGCAGTAAGAATTCCACTTCAGGGAGTATAACTTATTAGATCCAAATACCAAGCATATTGCATAACCAGAACAATACCACTGCAGATATATTGTACTGGCCCCAGAATAAGACACTAGTAGACCTTTCAGGCCTGGTATGTCAGCCCTATTTTGTTTAGTAAACATAAGGCAACCACATTTTCAAAGATGTGTTGTTGCAACTAGGATTTATATTGTCCTTCTCTGAAGTCAAAATACTCAGCTACCAATGCCATACTGCTATAGACAGAGGTTTAATGCTGTTCCACTGGGCCGTAATTTTTAAAAATCACATTTTGTTTGCCTGAGCATTTTAATTGGTTTTTAAGATTTTGGCATGACTAACTAGTTGATGACTCATTTTATCTCATATTTAGACTGCCATTTTATTGTATGGTTGACGTTTTTATCTTTGTACAGAGCTCTGGAACCCACTTTGCTGGGGGAAGGGTAGTATAAAAAAATAAAATTTATGTGCTCTGAAAATAGTTTTGGTCATGGTTCAGATTCAGGAGGAGTAGGAAACCCTGTGTCTTACACGTCCTGTTCTCTCTCCCAGCCTTGTCAGTTGCTTCCAGAATTGAGCGAGCAAATACAAATCAGACATCAGTTAAAAAAAAAAAGTACTCCCATGACCCCTTTATCAAAGGTGGAAATAAAGCAGTTATTTGAGTGGAGCTGGGGAATATAGAGGAACTATTGTGAGGAAAAGAGGAGAACAGTGACTGTACTTAGAGAATAGAATTTGGTATTACCTTTAGATTTTCATATAGTTGCTCAGTGGACATAGGCAAGATTCAGGGAACTATTTTGTGTTATTGTGGATAACAAAGAATCCATCACATTCTCTCTCTTTGTGGGAGGGGGTCTATACATCTGCTTGCACATGGATACCTCCTGAAACTACATTAATAATAAAATATTTTTCAGCTGGAGTTTATCTGCTAAAACACACTGCATGCTGAGAAACCAGTAGTCACGATCACTTGGCACCACAACACACCCTGCAAATAAGCTGCACAGTATCAATTGTTTGTGAAACAGCCCAAAGTGCACCTGATAGTTGTTTAAGCTTAATGTGGGTTTTCCCTCTCCTTTCTCCTTGGTCTTACCACTGGTATCTCAGGAATTGGCTGCTGCCTTGCCTACTTTGCTTGCTTCAATCGTAGCTTCTTTTGCAGTCACTGCAGCATTTCCCCTCCCTCCACACGGTTTTCCCAGAGATCATGGTTTTCCCAGAGATCATGCGTCACAGTTTCTGAAAGGATAGTAATAGTCTTTCCAAAGTGCCTAAGTGGCTCATTGGAAAAACTGCCACAGGTTTGCTCCTTTTTTGTTGCTAGAGATGTGCACAAAGTTTCGTTAATTTGTATGTACAAATTTCTTGTTGGTAGCTTACAAGTCTGGCTTCCCAAAACACCAAGCCTTGCCTGGTCAGTGCCCTGGCACCATCCATGGGCATTGCCCTTGCATTCATTTGATCTGGCAAATGGCAAGCTGCCAAGCAGATACCTAGGCTGCAAAAAGGTCTTTGCAAAAGAGAGTGGTGAATAGATCACTTCCTTTATAGCGTGAGCCTTTAGGTTTTGAGGTTGGACCTGATACTGCTCAGTATCCTCCAGCTTTTACACCCTCTCTTGAGCCTTTATGAGCATCAGAAAGAGGAAAAGTGCAGCCCACCCCATTTATGGGAGTGCTAATACATGACAGATGTCAAAAGTTAGGGGATTTTTTTACAACCGTTTTTTTGACAGGGACACACTCAGTCATGGAAACTGCATATAACTGCCTCCAAAAATGCCTGCTTAGCCATGTCAGAAGAGCTGCTTTAAAAGAAACTTGGGCACTGGTAGAGTAGCTATCACTGGTAGTAGCCCAGGTAAGCTCAGCAGGAGTAGGAAGACGCTTTTGCTGCACTAACCAAGTGGCTCACTCATGCTGAGAAATCTGTGTTAAAGGTGATTTTCTTATATTCAGCAATTATGAAAAGTACTATATCCATAAATTCATTATATTGTTGCTAGTCATATTTTCTCTTTCTTCACTCAGTTGGTATTTTAAAGAAGATTGATATTCCATCTGTCTTTATTGGTGAATCTTCCGCTAAGTCTCTTAAAGAAGAATTCACCTACGAGAAAGGGTATGCATTTTTTAAAAACTTTAGTTAGCCTTTGGTGGGGAAATTTTTTTCAATGACTTGTTGAAAACATTCTGCACAACACTTCTGGTGAAGAATGTGGATATAGGAAATCCATAGGCGAGTTGCTTTGTATTCAGCTACCCTAACATGTATAGTGCAAGTCCTTAAAATTAATTGTCAACAGCACAGGTATGCTTTTTATTATGTATTATGCAGTCATGACTTCTGTGATTGGTCCTGACTAAGCCATTTGGAGAATTCTTGTGACCAGCACAAGGGGTAGGGCAGAAAGTAATTGCATTTGGATGCAGACTTGCCTAATTTTGCACTTTTACATGAGTATGTGAACTGGAGCTCCATCAAAATGCACACTTGTCTGAGTTTTGCAAAGGGTATTGTAACCTGCTGTACTCTTTGGCTTGATGCAGCAAATGAATAATATAACTACCAGTACATGTACTTAAGATTTTATGTTAAATTGCTTCTCTTTATGAATGTCTTTTGGGAGAATATTCCCAAAGGGTGGCTAAAAGATAATACGCAAACCATCTGATAAATAGTTTGCTTTGAAAATGCATGCAGATTTTGGCCCTTAATGGGTTCATTACTCTTGATACAGTCATATTGTTTACTGTTACAATTTTCCTTTAAAGAGTAGATTAATCTTCAAAGTTGTTATTTTATTGGTAGCCAAACAATAACAACTTTGGCAAATAGGTTTCTCAGGAAAAATCTTTCCATAACTGAGTATGTAGGGTAGAGAACTGCTTCCACCCATGCAATCTTGAAATAATAGCACTGCCATATGGTGTGTGCCAGTGGTATCAGATGATGAGTAACATTTCTATCTGTTGCTTTTTAACAACTTCACAGGAAAAAGGCAGCCCAAATATCTTTAGTGTATTATCAATCAATAAATGGAAAAGTACATTGTTACTGGTTTTTTCCTTTTTCATCGTTTGGAACTTATAAGGATTGTTCTTTGCATTATGGTGAGAATTCTTGTGGCCTTGTTGTAGTGCCACAACTGTAACCTTTATTTGTGTACTTATTCATGAGTAATCCCATATCTGTATGCTGAACTAATGTCACAGAATGGGATTGTCTGCCTGTGCCAGATTTGTAGTTATTTGGTACAGAAATATATGCACATTACAACATTCTCTGTACTACTTGCTATTTACAGGATCCTGCTGTGGAATTAAAGTGAGCATACAATTAACCCTGTTGTCACTATTATACTGTCTGTGCATCAGTGAATAAAGATACGGTTGAATATATTTTAATAGTATAGTGAGTCATGTATTACTTCACTTTGTACAGCCAGACATTCTGACTTCAGTCTTAATATTGTATCTCTGAAAATTGGTTTGTCACAGTTTAAACCATTTTAAAATCAGTTGCCTTCCTTTTTCTTTCTTTCACAGAGGCCATATTTTGTTAATCCCAGAATTCAACCTTCCTTTGGAGTACTATCTAATCCCATTCCTAATTATTGTGGGAATCTGCCTTATCCTTATAGTTATTTTTATGGTAGGTATCTCTCTTACTCGTATTCCTACATCAAACTTTTTTTATTTTCTTTATAAGCAATGCAATACTGTTGTATTGCTGAGATAAATTTGGACTAAGTTGCTTGTTTAGGATGTTACTTTAAATAATGAAAGGAATAAGATATTTTTGTGGAATTATATAAATTGCACTTTAACACTGTAAAGGCATACTCTGAGAAATAGAGAAAGGGATTTTGTTTGTTTGCTTGCTTTTTTACTGTCTCCCTCCTCAAGTTCCCCATGTATGCAGTAGTTCAAGAAGAGCTTCTGTGTCAATGGACAATCATTTTCAGTTTTGACAGAATCAGAAACGGATGTAGCCATGGCACCAGCTGGTCCTGTTACAGATGATTTTCAGCCTGTGCAGTTTGTGGTTGTTGATAAAAGAGGTCCACCACTAGCTTTTTAGATTTTTGTCCCCTTTGGCTAGGACTGGGCATATACTATAGATATTAGAAGTAGATAATACTTCATTAATGGGTGGAATATTTCTAGTTATCCTGAAGGAATAAAACCACTGTTGAAGAATCCAGATCTTGATCGCTTGGCTATGGAGAATTATCACCCAGTTTCAAGTTTATCATATCTGATCAGAGTTTTAGAACAATTATTGAATGCCAACTCCAGACTATACTAGAAGACAACAATTATTTAGCTCCATTCTGATTTCTAAAAAGACTTTGAGACAGAAACTGTGCTGGTTGCCCCAATGGATGACTTATGCTGTGGAATGAATAAGGAGTATGTGAATTTATTGGTTCTCCAGAATCTCTTAGAGGCTTTCACTACGGTTGCCCAGCATCTGTCTGTGATGGGACTTGAGGATCCAGTGTCGCAATGGCTCCAGATCTTCCTGGCGAGTTGAACACAGGATTGCACTGGGAGCTTTTGTTCTACTCCATGACCACTGACATTTGGGATGCCCCAAGATTCCGTTATTCTTCATACTTTTGAGCAACTAAATTAAATCACTGAGGGAAGTCATCAACTAAACTGAACCTCAGCAGCACCTTCTAACAGTTGTACGGTTTTTACCTTACCAAACTTTTGCAACAGAACAAAAAGATTTCATTCCATACTTGTTACCACAATTTTATTTTTTAAATTTTGCATCTCTGTTATTGTTTGAGAATTCACCCAAAATAAGAGATTTAGGTGGTGGTGAGGGGACTGTTGCAGGCTTTCTTCTCTAAAATTTGCCATCCTGCCATTTCTGTGGGAGGCTTTAACACTACCCTTCCCTTGTTGGCATGACATTTATTTATTTGTAATATTTATATCCCTACTTCTCTACCAAACCATCACTCGCCAGGAAAGACATGTTCTAGCTCTTCACAAACAGTTGCAAGATCAAAACTTAATAGGGATGTTGTGCAACAGAATAAATTGCCCCTCTGCTTCAGTTACAGTAGAAAGTTTCAAATATTTGCATGGCCCTAAGTAAACACAACCCTTGGCCGTGCTATGCTATTGGAACTGAATATTGCTGAACGATAGCCTACTTCCTCACACCTTCACTGCTGTTATTGGCTTCACATTCCAGAAGATACTCTTTACCTTAGCATCTTGCTACCCATATAGCTGTGCAAGGTGCTGAACTCTTCTGTGATCCATCTTCCCCAACACGGTGAACCTTTTGCAGACTGTCAATAAGTTTTCAAACATTTCTCAGCTCTTTGGGGATGTACAATAGTAGGTGTTCCTACTTTTACCCCTGGACATGTACTCTATTTGCTTATTATGCTTTTCCTCTTTAGAATTCAGAACAAAAGGAAATATAGTTATTCTCTACCTTTTTTTTAGTATTAACTTTCTATTTTCTATTTATGTCCCTATCTTTCAAGATCACAAAATTTGTCCAGGACAGGCACAGAGCAAGAAGGAATAGGCTTCAGAAAGATCAGCTTAAGAAGCTTCCAGTACATAAGTTCAAGAAAGGTAAGTGTGACTTTTTAGAATTGATTAAACAATCTATGCAAGATGGCCTTAAATGCTTAGAACCACAGAGGGCATAGGGTACTGTTTCAAAAACACTGGAAAAACTCTCCAGAGCTTTCAAGCCTGGACAGTTTTGATACAGAATGCATGGTTAATATGCAAAAACAAAACAAAATCCTGACTGAGATCTAGGCTACCTCTGATTAGAGCTGATGGGATGTTCTTGCTGAACATAGGTGGGAGGATGAAGAAGCAATCCCCCCTGCAGCTTCCCATGCCCCCCTAGTAGTTCTTGCACAATCAGGGGCACTGCAGAACAACATGGGAGGTGACATAGAAGGAGCCGGAAAGTGGCAAAGTTGCTGTTCCTCCAGCAAGAGTCTCCACTGCATTCCAGTCCCTTCCGTGAATGGAAGAGGCTTTTCCCAGATTGGGGAAAGTATGATTTCCTTTATTCAGTCCTCAGCCTCTCTAGTTAAGGCACTGTTATAACTCTGTAAAAGTTTTCCCCAGGCTATAACTCTAATAGCCTGGGGAAAACTCTGTGTAGCTGAGTTGAAGATCTGTTGTTAGTCTGAGAATGAGTTCATTACAATTCGCCAGAGAACCAGTTGACATATTATCAGAGTTGGTTCAGATCCTTCAGTTACTACTAGTTGAGTTGTCTCATGGAAGATAGGCAATGCATACCAACACTGAAACCTAGGCCAAGACTTCTACAAAGCAGTGGGATTTATTCTATGAATCTATTAATTAGAGCAGCATAGCCATCTTCTTCTGTGAGTCGCATGCTCCCACCTTGCACTGCTTGCATGCACAACTTGTATAAGCAGTTGCTTGTGAGCTTGCCAGCTGCAGTAATATATAAACACTGTAAAAATAAAGCAGCTCCTTTGTCTTTCACATGAAGACTGGAGTCTAAGGAACTGAAGGGCTCAGAACACTGAACTCCTTTAAAAAGAGAAAACATGTTCGCTATATATATGCTGTATGTTAGAAATTAATTGTTATACCAGAACTGAAGAGGTGTTTCCTTTAGATTGTGCTTGAAGCAGATAAGCAGTCAAACACAATCTGTAACCCTTAGAGCAGTTTTCAGCAGGAAAAATGAATCTTTTGCCAGTGTTTTTCCTTCACAATTTTTGTATACTATAATGGATGCTCTCAGTTACATAAACAGTTGCTCTCAGTTACATAAACAGTTAATGTAACATCAGTGCCATTATCAGCATGAGGAATACACAAGGCTTACAGATAATCGGCATAGATTCAGGGGCAGAGCTGTACCCAATGCGTTGTTTGCCCTTGATAACAAGTCTTGCATTATTGATGCTATTGCTAGTCAAACTACCTGCAAAGCAGATGTTCAGCTGAAAAGTGCACACTGTGTCATATGCAAACTTAGTTTCTCATAAAAAAATTAATGAGGCTTTACCTCTGCAAGGCTGAATGATCTTTGCTGAATATTTCTGTTTCACTGGGGCTTTGAATTAACTATAAAGGAGTGATTTTGCATCAGTTAACGGAAATCCTCGTTAATGGATTTTTGATATAAATTAGGAGGAGAAATATATAAAGAATATTATTTTTTGTTCTTGTGTGGAAATATATATGCATGTTTGCTTAAGCATGGCTTTTGAGTTTGCATATATTCCTTGCTGTGGTACATGGATGCTATATTAATTTATACATTTTTAGAGTAATCAAAGTTTTCCATTGTTTCATAGAAGGATGGAATCAGAAGGGATCAAGCAGATCATGTTATCATGATCAAGCATGTTACCAAACCTAGAACTGGCATTGGCAGGTGGCTTCCTCTGGCTGTAGTTGAGAACACACGCTTCTGACACTGCTGCCACAGACCCTCTTTTTTCAAGAGCTCCAGTGACTGCCAGCTGGCCTGTTGTAACAGTTACCCACAATGTCATGCAGTGTTGCTCTGCCACTGTGGGGTGTTGTATGCAATTAGCATGCCAGCTGCCTGGTATTGCACAGAGGTGTGCCACCATTGCCATCATCTAATAAGAAATGTGGCTGTCTTCCCTTCATACACTTGGGCAGGGTGGAAATAAATAGGAATGGAGACTTGTGCTGACCGTGGGGGCGGGGGAGTGCGTGCTGACATAGGTGGCTAGTAGAGAGCTCCATGTGCTCAAAGTTTTAAGTTACCTTATTCCAGCCTTTTCTTGATCACTCAAGAAAGGCCACTATTATAGGCCACTATTTATAGTGGCCATGTCACAGCTTTGGGCAGTTTGCAAGTTACAGCTGCCATGTGGATGAACATGTTAATTTCTATGGTAGTACCCCAGATAGCAGCACTGTGCAGCTGCATACTATCTGGCTGGGCGGTTTCTTCATAGTAGCTGAAGTGGCAGAAAGACAGACTTGCACTGATAGAAGAAAACTATTACAAGCACATGGAAGCAACTCTCAACAGCTTTGTATCTGAAAACAGCTGTCACATTGTGCAAGTAACCTTCATATGTTAGCTGTAATATAAATGGTAATTCCAGCCTAATTCTGATGCAGATTATAACTTTTATTGCAGTTTGGAAAAGAAGGGTGAAATAATACATTTCTGTCCTCCCTTTCTTCCGAGGAATTCAAGGTGGTGTACATGGCTCTCCCTATTGAATATATGTAACAATAACCTTGTGATGGGAGTTTAAGCTGAGAGTTACTGGCCCAAGGTTACCCAGTGAATTTCATGGTTTAATGGGGATTTGAATTCTCTGTCTCCCTGGTTGTAGTTCACCGCTCTTAATGACTTGCCTCAGGAAGTATACAAATGTCGTGACACTATTCCAGATTTTATAAAACTTAAGAGGCATGTAGATGAAGTGTTCCCCTTTTCCTGCAGCATAGCGTATGTTTTGCACTTACAGAACACCACCAGTGTGCAGAAGGATTGAGCCATAGAGTACACTCCCCATGGTAAACTCCTGTGTCCCATGCTGAAGTCCTGCTCAGAAGCTGCCTTTAAAGTTAAGAGAAAAACAAAGCAGCAGGAGATCCCTGATTTCCCAATGTCACATCTAGTTTGATTCTGAAGAGCCAAGGCAACTGCAAGGAGATGTGAAGGGTAGAACCTAATCACTGACGAGAACAATGCTCTTTTCACAGTGGCAGGCTTGCGACTGCTTACTGGGCTGGACTTGAGGCCATTCTTGATAGTGTGCTCCTTTCAGTCATATATAAGCTGCTGTATTAGCTGTTCACATAGACATAGCCACAGGCTTATAAGCAGTACATGAGCTGAAAGTCCCAGGCACAGGCTGTTTATTTTCCCTTTGTGTAAAAGCTTTATACTTCACTTGGTGTTTTTAAACCGAACATCTTCCAAAATACTACAAAATCTCGATCCCAGTGAATCAAGACAATGGATAGATTTTATTGTGCTTAAACATTTTGTAATCTTTAGAGGCAACAACAGCCCAAAACTATTTTTAATGGAATTTGTTAAGCCTTTCCATTGTTTTCCATTCTTTATCTTTTCTTGGAGAGTTGTAAATAACTTTTAATTAATTTTTAATTGTAATACTACTATAATGACTAATACCAATTACACAGGAACTGTCCAGTGGGTGGAATTTATACTCCAGTCCATTTGTACTTACTCTACTACAAAATCATTGTTTAGATGTACACACCACTGGAAAAGTGATAAATATTTGATCAAGGGACACTTGCTAAAGCAACAAAGTAGGTTCTGTGTTGAATCCATTATTCATAGAGACTACAGGACAGAGCTCTCAATCCATATATTTCATTATAAACAGAATCAGAACTAGAACTAGGCCCATCCTATCAGTCTTTCAGAGGTTTGGAGAAGAATGTGAATATTTAAAATGGATGTTGCTTAGTTTTTCCCATCATAGAAAATGCTAGAACACCACAAAGATCTTGCTTATTTGGGATGTCAACATGCAAGGTGACATGAGTAGAAGAGCATGAAAAGACTAGATCAGGGCTCCTCTTAGACTAGAGACAGGGAACCTTTTTTCTGGAAGATTACTTTGCATTAGGAGTAATCTGCCAGGGTTGCATGCTAGTTGTGGCTGAGTCAGAGCCAAAAATGAGAAGGGTCACTGCTTTCTTCTCTGTGCTACCCCTTTTTCTTTCTCCTGCTTCTTTCTTGCCCAGCATTTCCTGCCTGCTGGGGGAAAAATAGGCATTGCTTTGCTTCTTATAAGGGCCCGGGCATGTCCAACACTAAAGCTGCAGGTTGACACCCCACACCAGTCTCAATTATTGGTCTGATAAAATATACCTCCTTCACATGACCATATCTCTACTCCAACAGTGTAGGACTCACCTGTCATTATACCTATTTTGTTCATTGGTACCTTTGAATAACAGCCTCCCTTATCAGATCTGAGAGTAGCATTTTCTCACACCAATCCTGTGACACAGATTAGGCTGAGAAGACAAGCTGCTTAGGGCCATCCAATAAGCAACATCAGAACTGACTCAGTAATAGGTTTAGATTGGACCCACCAATACATTGTATGGCTTTATATTCAGTTTCTCTTGAGACACAATTTCTTGTATGTAAAATGGAGAAAATCATTTCACAGGACCAACACGTAGGATGGTGAGTTGCTTTATGTAGTCCATTGCTTTGAATGTGTCTTAGTCATGATCAAGCTTTCCTAGATTGTGCTTAATTCTGCTGCTAGTAAGAGGTAAGTTTATCTGTGTTGGAAATGATGTTGCATTACCAGGTCCTATGAGGAGTGTGCAGCCCAGTATATCAATATTCTTAAATTTATCAGCTGGATGTAGCAAGTGCCAGCAGTCTTCACACTGTTGTTGGAATTCCAGATTGACTGGCAAGACCCATGTTCAAGTCTCTGCTTAAAACTTGTCTGATTTCAAAGTGATTTCTAATTTGTCAGATTTCCTGTAATCAGTCTGTAGTATTACAACAATATGGCAACCATAGCTTAAGCCATGGGTACATATTGTGTACCTCTCCAGTCTGCCTGATTTGAAAGTGCAGAAAAGATGCCGCTTCAAGTACTTTGTGGAGGGAGTGTCTGTTGTTCAAGAGGCACAAACCACAACTCTGGAACCCAACTAGGGCAGTTGATTGAAATTAGCTGCTCAATTCTTTGGTACCATGCCGAAACACCATGACTGGGTCTGGACTACATGACAAACCAACAAGAGCAAGAAATCATCATGGCCTCTCCCAGTATGCAAATCTGGCCCATGTATTGTTGTTGAATGGTTATGAAACTAGTGCCCATACTGAGATAGGTGAACCATATAACCCAAGTTTTAGTAAGAAAGTAAAAGCTTTTCATATGAAGAGCTGGCAATATTTCTTACTATTTTATGAAGTTTGCAGGATTCTGCTTATTTTGGAAATCAGCCATTTTTTCCCAAGCTACTTTAGTTCAAAAGCATCAGGATAGAAAGTAATATTCCATTGACAGCTGAGTTGTTAATGGTCAGATGCCAGTTAAATTTCATGCAAAACTGTGTGTGTGATAACTTCCTAGAATAAAAAGAAACCCCTGAACCCATGTGGGGGGGGGAATAGGGCAGAGTAAGATTTCAGCCTAATAATTCGTCAAAGCTCCTTTAAACAAAAGGATTGCCATGAGTGTACTGGTGTCTAGACACAGCAAGCTTGAGATATCCCTGAAGTTGCTTGCATGGCAAAACTTGCATGGATAACTCTAGCTCAGAATTAGCTGTTTGTCAGTTTTGGCAAGAAAGGAATCAAAATGGCTTGATTGATGGCCCTAGTTGTAAGATCAGATTTCCCAGGGCAGTAATGCAAAATCCATTATCACCCATAACAGCAGCTTCAACCCTCTTGATACTAAAGGATTAACCTTTTAGGGCTTTACTGTATGCATTTAGATGGGAGCTCCAGAGGATTGTAATCTTGGTATTAGGCATTCCTCAGTTTTCTTTCAACTGCAACCTATTCTAATTGCTTAAAAGCTTGGTATCATTCTTTGCATTCAAATGAAACTAATTACATCTGAATTTCATTGTGTTTTTAAGAGAGAGAGTGAAAGACCCTGCTATCCCCAAAATGAATGTTTGCTTTAATTCGAACCAACAGGTTTTTGGCTGTACATGGTTACACAGACAGCCTGCATTTGGCATAAGGAGTTTCTGTACTGGGAAAAATGTCTGTACACCTGTGCCACATTAGTGAGAAAAGGGAACCAGGCATCAAGACTTGACTGCTGTAATCTGCTGCATCAAATGCACGTGCCCTGGAAACTCTCCTGGAATACTCAGCTAGTGCTCAGTACTACAGCTCAGACACTACCTGGGACTTGAACTTTGCATCAGGGGTATAGCTCAGGCCAGGGATCCCACACAATCCCTTCAGGAGTTCTCAGAAGGTGATGTCTGCCTATTTTTGGCCCTGGCCCCTTTCCCCTCAAACGTTGTTTGGTAGTTTCCTGGAATTTGTACAGTTTTTCCCTTCTAAGGGTTTTAAATGCTGTCTGGGAGTACAAGCTTTGAGATGTGCCATTTATCCCTTGGCTGAAAGAAGTTCTGCACTGTTTTAGAATGTGTTATACCTTTGTGGCTCCAATTGCAGAGGTTACCAGTACTTTAATAGGTGCAAGGCAAGCTGCTAGTTATCTGCTTTGAAGTCCCCAATCATCTAAAGGATAGCTTTCTTTTGTTATGAGTCTTCCTGGCTGAAATCAGATAAGTTCACTTTTAATTTGTAGGATACACATCCCCTTTTAATTTTGAATTAAGTGATTCTTTTATTATGCTGTGTTGATTTCATGCTTTGATTTACTTTTTTTTGTGAGCCACTTTGAGCCATTTGTAGTTCAGGTGTAAGTGACATGGTTCTTGTGGGCACCAGTACACCCTTGCTCACATTTTTTATAGCCATCAAGGTATCCTAATACTCCTATTTTAATACCTTTTCTTACTGTCAGCTGGGATTGCTGTGTTGGTGCCGAAAACTGGTTTGCAAGAAGTGTTTTAGTGTGTTGGGGCTCAGACTCAACTGCTGCTTTGTATTCAGTCGTTGGGGCAGGTTATTTTGCCTTTTCCACCCTTCCCAGGACAGTGTCTCAAATTGCTAACTTTGAGCACAAAGCAAGAGAGGAATGCTGATGTTGATCACATGGGGCTCCTTTCCTGGCAGCCCCCTCACAACCAGCTGCCTTTGGCATCGGCACTTGATGCAGGAGGGGGGCATTGTTAGCAGTCATGTGGGGCTCCTTTCTGGCAACCAGCCTTCTTTCAGCATCAGATGCAGCTTCCCATATGGTGGCCGCACCTGACACAGCAGAGGGATGCTGCTTGTGCAGCATGTGATGCTCAGTTCCTGGTGAGGGTCCTGAGAATTCTGGGCGTGCTTGCCAGGAACGTGGGAGTAAGGGCCAGTGCAAAGCAGATCGGGATCTGGAGAGTTGGGCCCAGGGAATCCAACAGATTCCCATCCCCAAACAAATTTCTCATACATCCCTTGTGGAGGGGTATAGATTTTGTGTGTTAGAGTGTGAGTGGATGAATGAGTTGCATGCTTCTGTGTATTAATGGGGGCATGTAAGAGAGAGGGTGTAACTATACCCATGCCTGGTATGAGGCCTCCCAACATGCCTTTGCCTTTGATCAAAACTGACTGGCATCAGTTCCCCGTAATTCCAGTTATAATTTTTTTCTCAGTACCAAGAATTGAAGCTGGGACCTTTTCCATGTAAAGAATATGCTCTTCTGCACAAATAGAAAGCAAGGTTCAGGGTTATCAGTCTTACTGTGAAAAAAGGTCCTTACAGTTAGCACCATTTAAAATGTTTCTTTTCTTAAATTAAAGACCATGTAAAATGTTTTGAGAAAATACCAACAATTAACTTTTAAGGTAAGAAACAACAGATGAGTCACAGTAAAAGAAAAAAATGAGAGATGTTACCATAGTTTTTTGTCATGGCCTGCAAAACAGCAGCCTACAGAAATTCTGGAGTAAATCCTTGTAGAACTTTTATCCAACATTGGTAGTTTGATGTTTATTTTTGTAATGCAAGTTTTATTCAACACATTTTCTACTGTAGGAGATGAGTATGATGTTTGTGCCATTTGTCTGGATGAATATGAGGATGGAGACAAACTCAGAATCCTCCCTTGTTCTCATGGTAAGTAATTGCAGTTTGTAAGGATTTAAAAAATGCAAGGATTTAAAAGACTGTATTTCTGTTATTAATCTTTTAATTGGTCTGTTAAGACAATAATAAGACATGTATCATTGTGACTTCTAGAATAACAGAATACAATAAAACTGAAGACAAACCTCTCCTTGCTATTTTATGCAGGTATTGAGGATTGACAGTTAATGCTAATTGCCTTTAGGTTGGATGTTCACATTTGGTCTTAAAGAAATGACCAATTTAAGCATGAGACACTGACATTAATAACAGTAGTACTTGTTCAGCTAACTTCAGATTTACATACACAGCAGTACAGATGGAATGACCGCTTTTTCAGGCAGCTTAATGCTAATAGTAATCTACACTTTCCAAAGCAGCAGGTGGTACTCTTCCCCTAGGGCTTGTACTACTACTGAATGCAGGATCAAGGTCTTGCAGGTGCTTTTGAGTCCACTGGCATGTTAAAATTTCTCATCTTTGTAAAAAAAAAAAACCTGTCAGGGAAGCATGCAATGAATTCATGAACTATAGGTGTAGTACTGGCCATCAGCAATAGATAAATAGAGCTCACCAACAGGAGTATACTTGCTCCTGGGTACTGTTTACAAATTAGGAAGCCATGATCCTCATGCAGTTGCTTATGAACTTCAGTGAGATAGATACTACTAATGGAAAAAGAATGGTTTGACTGACACTAGTCTGATTTGTTAGGCTTCCTCTATGACTGCGACATAGTATGTCAGGGCCAAATTAAGGCCTAATCAAGCCCCTCAGGGTTTTCTAAATGGCTGCAATTCCTTCTCCTCTGGATAGAGTCTTTTGGGCAGTTTTTCCCCCATTCTAAAACATTGAAATACCTCTTCTAAGACTAGCAGCGAGACATTTAAGCTGGTATTTTTTCCCAACCAACTGCTAGAATACAGCTTTCAGGAGCTTTTCCAAAATTGTGGTCCGAGACCTATGCCCTTTGCTTTGTTTAAATGTGTAGGTCAGCTCAAAATCATGTATAATGTTGTATACATCAGTGTTTTGTTAGCTTACTCACTAGGATTGACTTCTGCTACCTGATAGGCAGGCAGTATATTGTTTACCTTCTGTAATCCAGAATGGCTTTTCTCAAGTATAGCCCTTATTCAGCTTGCCATTACACTTGGCCCAACTCCATATCAAGATGGAGTGCAGTATATCTATTTAAGCCTGCAGGCAAATGCCCTTTTCACTTTTAGTACAACACTTTGTATTTTAATTGTTTTATATTATGATAAAATAGAAATTAAAATCCATAACTGCTTATAGCTGCTTAAAGTTAAAGCAGCTTAAATTTGCTTCAAGTTAAATGCATTTTTCCTGTTTTTGAGCAGCATACCACTGCAAATGTGTGGATCCTTGGCTGACTAAGACCAAGAAAACATGCCCTGTCTGTAAACAGAAAGTGGTTCCTTCCCAGGAAGATTCAGATTCTGAAACAGACAGTAGTCAGGAAGAAAATGAAGTCTCCGAGAACACACCATTGCTTCGACCTCTTGCTTCAGTTAGCACCCAATCCTTTGGGGCATTGTCAGAGTCTTACTCTCATCCAAACATGACAGAATCTTCAGATTATGAGGATGAAGATGATGACAATGAAGAAATTGACAGTAGTGATGCAGATAATGAAATGACTGAAGAGTGTGTAGTAGTCCAACTACAACCCAATGAAGAACAGGATTACAGAGTGGCAAATACAGTCTGAAACAAGTGGTATTATATGAACTGCTTTGGCCAGAGAGCTCTACTCTTATGTACATGTACATAGGGGAAGCACATTGTGACCCTCCTGATGCTTCGTTAGAAGCAGCTGTTCATAATAGTGTTCTATATGTTCTATATTGTTTAATCTCATTACAAGTTTCTTTTTGGTTGTTTGTATTTGTCTTTTGAAGACAGGCATTTTAACTGGACTTCAGAATTATAACACCCCCCATCACTAGAGATAATGCACATAGAAACAGAGATGCTACTTCAGCATCTTGGTAAAAGGAAGTCTTGCCAAGAAAGTAAACATTTTTCCTGGTTACAGGTAGAGCATAGGTTATATAGAGATGGTTATTTATTTACACATATGGTAGTACTACCCTACAAAGCCGGCCAAAAAGTATATAGGTGTGTATCTGTGAGGGGTTTCCTAGAACAGCCAGCACCATTGAAAAAACAAGGTAGACCTGTTTAGTATTCATCAACCAAGAGCATTACCAGCAGTGGAGGGGAACATGAGCTTTGAGTGCTTTAGCAAAGCTATTTGGCTGCCTTTTCTATTATCCTACTGTGCTTACATGAGCAGGTAAAGTGGTGAAGAAAGTTTCACTTCACTTTGGCTTAAACAGCTCTTGATGAAAATGTTAGGAGAATGTATTCATTGGCACACCTTGCTCACAGCTGTTCAGTTCATTTCTTTAAGACAGGTATGGGGACCAATGCAGAAAAGCAAAATCAAGCCATGTCACATAGAAGAGCACTGACTATTGTGTGTGCTATTGATTCACAAATGAGCTATACCTCTTACTACAGAGCATTTGAAGATGCATTAGTCTGCTAAAACTATGCACATAGAGAAATCAAACTAAGTATTGGATTTGAAAATTAATGCTTATAAATATCTATTTACAGTATATCATGAAAAAGCTAAATTATGTAAAATTGTAACTATATAGAAATTAGCCACAGTTCTGTATAACTAAACTGCAGGTTTTGTTTTTTTAATATGGCCTTGTCCAGGGAAGTTAGAACGGAGGATAATAAATATGGTTTTCCACTTTAATGGCTTTTTAGTAAATGTGCAAGAACAGTTTAGTTGAAATATTAAGGAATTACTAACTAGGACTGGACCAAAATGTGAACCATGCCCACCCTCCCCAACCTGCAAAATGCATCCCACTTTTTCAGCAATATTTTGGGAGGGTGTGCAAAAGAAGGTGAAATGAAATGGAGAGGACCACCACTAGTATTTGATATTTAAGCAACAATACTTAATGGATTTAATTGGCATTGATATTACTTGATGAACACAAGATACTCTATACTGCCTGCATTATTCACACATAATGCTAAGCCATGTCACAAGGTTAACTTCTCAACATAGAATCTTATCTAGGCGCCTGGGTTTCAGCCAATGGCATGGTTCCATGATTCTTGATGTTCCCACCAAATGGTAGCACGTAGCCTATCATCCCCTGTGGCTGAAAATCAATCCGAGAGTATACCACTCCTGTCTGTATTAGTTACCTCTTCCTCATGGCTCTGTGTCAATGTACAACCACGCCTCACTGCACTGCAGTGCTTATGCTGCCAGCAGCTACCTCTTCTCTGGAGCCAGGCACAGAAGGCACCAGTGCCAGGGACAGAGGCAGCATGCTCTGCTGGAAAGCATATCCCACACGAACATATGCGGGTATCTGTTTGGGAAAAGAATTGAATGGGTCCTAGGAAAGTGTGTGTTTCAGAGCTATGGCGGGGGGGGGACGGACAGTGGGGCTGGTCATTAAGTCTCAAGAAATGTTGGGAACATGATACAAGTTGGAGAATCGGAGGAAGAGTGGAAAACAAGGGCTACTCAGGGCAATTGCCCTGATAGCGATGCTGCATGCAGCCCATGTTTCTTGTGTGCAAGGCAACTTTCACAAGGAAACCACTGGTTCTAAGAATAGAACAGAGGCACTGCAGCAGTTTGAAAACACGACTCAAGCAAACTTCACAACCAACCAGGGGAATGCCCATCTCCAAGGTTGCTGTTGCTGGAGGGAGTGCAGCAGCATGCTTTACTGCCACCATGATTCCAAAGCTGCAGCTGGGCATCAGGAAGGAAGCACATGGACGGGGGGGGGGGGGGAGCATGGAGCAACCAATTAGAGCATAGCCAGCTCCAACACAGTAGTGTCTAGGCAGAACCGGATAGAGGAAAATGCAGTCTGGAGCTTGTCTTGCTGCCAGCCTCTATGTTGGAAGTGGGGAAACTGCATGGAAACCTTGTAACTAGGTTCAGGCTGCAAAACAGGCCATGGTGAAGTGCAGAGACCATAGGACAATCCATTGTTTCTCAGTGTGGTTTCATGGAAATGAAAACACTCCATGTTTTACTATGGCTGCTAAGATGCTGTGTTCATACATAATGACAAGCCATGTCTGGGCAGTTTTCACTGTGGCTTGTTATATGAACTTGCCAACTGTGAAAGCACAAAGTATTTTTAATATGGTTCGAGAGTTAATAAAAGCAATTTGGCACTTGTTCATTGCATAAGTATTCTCCCACCTAAGTCAATAGTTGGTAGAAACCCATTTTGTCTCAATTGCAGCTGGGAGTCTTCTTGGGAATCAATTGTGCACATCTGTACCCTGCAATGTTTGCCCCTTTTTTCTGGCAAAACTGTTCCAGTTCTATCAGGTTGGTTGGGGACCACTGGTGCACAGGAATTTTCAAGACTTGTCACAGGTCCTTTCTTAGATTGAGGTTGGGCTGAATACATCTGCAAGGCACTGTAGGGTATCCTGCTGACTAGATAGCTCATTAGTTGTGATGTTACTAAAATAATGCTTAATCAGACAAAACGTGGGATGGAAAATGAGCACAAAACAAAGACTACCAAACCAATAAGGTAAAGACCGATTTCGAGTATAATTGCTGATTTATATTAGGAACTGGATAATGAAGAAGAAAGCAATAACTTTAAAATGAGAAAAATGACATAACACTATCTGTGATGGCTTCTGCTTTATCCCTTGAGATCTGGAAAACAGCAGAGACAGTTGCAAAACCTAAATTTTATATCTGGTAGAAAAGATTATATATATAGATCTTAATGGTTCCCCACTGAACATATTCTTGGTATTATCTCCCCAAATTCCAGGCCTTTTACTATCCTTTACATGTACAGTAAATACGGCAGTCACACAAGACTGCAGGCCAACATGTAAAATATAATTTTACAAATATTCAAAAATCAGCCCTACTGCATCTCTTCCATATTGACTATAGGCTTGTGTAGTTACTACCCAATTAGATTTTGCATGTCAAGATTTGGAATCGTGGATATAGCCTCCTTATAGGCCTCTTTCAGCTTGTGTGTAGTGGTGGCAGTGGTTGTGTGTGCATGTTTAAAGAGTAGAGTCTAACATTTTCACTTACCAGAACACAAGGAAAAGTGAGCAGTCTTCTACCTAAATTCAGTAAGTAGGGAACATATTCCTCACTAAGGAATTTAGATACTGTGATGGCCAAACATGCTACTTTTAAACCACTAGATGCTGCCTAGAAGTCGGAGATCAAGCCCTGACCTTGAAACATATAGAGGCTGGAGTCTGAACTCTAACCTCAGCGTGCCCTCCCTCTCAGTGCAGCCACCAGTTTTTTCCATATAGGTAATGTAATTGCCAGTCGCAGACAACCTTGGTTCCAGGAAAGGGAGGCACGAGGCGTTCCCGATGGCACTTCACCCTTCTCTTCTAAACACAAAACACAGCCAATTAAATTTTAGAGGGCTGGAGGAGTGTGTTCACACTCATTCCATCCTCCACTGGAAGTTACTCTTTCAAGTTTGAAGACTTACAAATATCCTTAAGAAACAAGTTTTATTATTTGAATGAATTTTCAAGGCTAGCTGCTACACTGGAGGATTGTTATACGAATTTTGTTTTGTTGTGGGCTCTTTTCTCTCCTACTCAAGTCAGGCATGAACTGAAAGCAAATTGCCACTTCAACTGTTTATCCCTGACTGCCATTTGGGTCACCCCCACCACAATTCACAATGGTTTTCCATACAGTAGCTAAGAAGTGCATATTGGCTTTAAAGTGGAAGCCTGATTGTAAAGTCTGCAATGTAAACTTATGGTTCCAATACACAAAAATACTAAGCCACAAACACCCGCTTTTGTGAGAGCAGCAACAGTTCTGGAGTTCACACACATGGCATGAACCTAGCTACTCAATTTTTATACTTGCACAGTATTCCTAACAAGTATTTTGGAAGAACAAGTGGCAACATGGTCCCTTTCAAATGGAGATTCACTGAACTTTTCAAAATGAGTAAAGAAATACATTAGTAGTGGGATACTGTGTTAGATTATCATTTGCTTCAAATGAAGACAAAATCATTCCATAGCAATATATTGTAGAGTTAATATAAGGTAATGAAGCATTAGCCAGAAATGTGAAGGAATTTAAGACAGTAGCATTCTTACCCCTGGTCCTCTTCCAGCCCCTACATCTCACACTTCCAGGGACTAGAAAAATCATTTTTTACAGCACTTTACTTGAAGAATGACAGAAAAATGATGCACAAATGATGTTGGGGGAGGGAAGATGATAAAAAGTTCAAGCATGCAAAAGCATGCAATATTTGACACTATAGCAAGAGAGAGGCCATGTAAACTTATGACCTTCCAACATAAGCCAAAACAATGTTGGCCAAAGCATTAGTTGCTGGTGATCAACCAGGAAGAGTACCCTAGAGTTGCAGTAGATTGCTCAATAAAAATGTCAATCAAGTGTATAACTACTGTGACAAGGCACAATTGAAATTGGGAATCATTGGGAAAGTGGGTCATAGATCAAATCAAGCCAGAGCTTTTCCTAGAAACAAAAATGACAAAACTGAGGTTGTCATACTTTGAGCACATCAGGCGAAGACAAAACTCTCTGGAGAAGATACTGGGAAAAGTCAAAGGCAGAAGGAAAGACCATGAAATTATTTCATAAAGGAAGCCACAGCATAGAATTTACAAGAGTTGAGTAGGGCTGTCATGGATAGGACATTTTGGAGGACTTTCATTCACAGGGTTGTCATAAGTTGGCAACAACTTGACAGCATATACCACCGCCACCAGGAAAGGAATCTAAAAATGAAATTGCCATGCCCTTATATCTTTATAGACACTTAGGATGTATCCATTCACTTGGAATACCATGTACAGGTCTGGTCACACATCAGAAAAGATACTGTACAGCTGGAAAAGGTTCAGCAAAGCTCATCCAAACTGATGAAGGGGCTAAAAAAGGTCCCCTATGAAGAAAGGTTGCAACATTTGTGCTTTTACAGATTAGGGAAAAAGTTAAGGAGAATTAAATTCCTGGAGGATGGCTATCAATGACATATACAGGCAATCCCTGGATTGTGGATTTCCATTCTTGAGAAAATGGAAATTTGAAATTGTACTGGGGGAAGCTATTAGTTAAAAGATTTTTATGTTGAAAATATTATCACGATAAGCCATATTATATGTAAATTGCCTTGGTAGGATATGCCTCTTACTGAAAAAAATACTTAGCTGAAAAGGACCACACACCAGTCATGGTTGAGATTAATATTTACAATTTTGCTTGATACAAATGTGTATTAGAGATTTTGATTTCTGTCCCTCACAAGGGCAAGTCTTCAGCCCAACCTGAAATAAATCTCATTTTAATATTCAGAGACAGTCATGGACCAAACAGACCTGCCCTGTGAAATACAGAGTCAATGCCTTTTCTATTTGTAAGGTGTTGCAAAGACATGCTAAACTAATAGATCACTGGTATAACCCCACATCTCTTGATAAGAAAGATTTCAAACAAGGTCTCATTCTTATTCTTGAAAAGGACAGATCACTTATTTATGAAATATCAATATTGTCAACATAGAATAATTATCTTCCTGACCAGTTTTATAAATGCCCTCCCTCGGGTTTTTTTCTAAACTATTTTTGCATCTTCTCATTTTCTTAAAAAGTGACTTGGTTAGAATTTGGGTGGCAACATTTGGGTGAAATCTCTTGTACCCTGAGAATATC